ATGAAATCATCTGATGGTCCTGCACTGCTGCCCGGCACATCAAAAGGGGTGTGTCCCTGACTGTGAGAATCTGTGGCTAGAGTCTCCCCACTGTCATGGCTCTGTGCAACAAGGCCTACAGAGCGATACAACTCCATCGTGTCCTCCGCAGACCAAAAGGGGTAATCGGCATCAAGTCCCTGTGAATAGGGCTGGAAATCAGGCTGTGAGGATGCCGGATCCGCTCCTGCCATAGCCATCGGACTAGCCTGGAAAACTGGCTCCTGCCCGCTCATGTAAGGGTGCTCAGACGCCGCCTGACTAGGACCTGCCGCATACTGCGATCCGTGATGATAAATCGGATGTGACCCGTAAGTAGGACTAAATGCTGGAGGTCTAAACCATCCCTGAGTCTCGACCACTGGTCTAGGTGCCATAATCGGGACAGGCTCAGCAGCAACTCTCTCACGTGTACGTCCTAATCCGCGTCCCTCCCGTCTATTACGAGGAACATCCACGATCAACTGAGGATCAGGCTGAGTCTGCACGGGGGGTGCCTCAGGTCCAGGCTCATCAACTCGTGAACTCTCACGAAACATCCCAATAATCCGGCCTATTTCCTCGTGGATATACTGTAGTCCAAATCGAGGAAACTCCTCCGCCGTTGTTGCATGATACAGCATTTCAAGACCGTCAATCTGCATATTACGAAAAAATGTTAGAAATGTGAAACAAATGTAAAATAAGTACAAAACTCACCATACGCCCTATCTTTGCTGCCCTCCGAGATATGTAGCGCTTTCCCCTCTCTGTACCACTCCATGTACGCATGATTAGGTGACATCAAACCATATAATGGAGGTGGCAGTACAATATGCTGAATCCTAGTATTCCATCATCAATGTAAGCCCTGAGCTTACGTCTCCAGTTCTCTTCAACCTTCCCCTGTAGAGTATGATCATGTATTCCTCTCAATTTTCTAGATTTTTCCGGGATGGGTTGATTAAGACCGAACTGTCGCATGCACCTATCCGGTTGACATGCCTCAACTGTGTGGAAGTAGATAATAGGTGTGGGAGCAAGCCACAGATACTGCTGCTCTAGAGTCACGTCAAGCCACTCATATTCTATATATGGCTGCCACACCACCTACAAACAAAATGTGAAACAATATATAGAGTTACAAAAAAAAATAAACTCATAGACAAATAACAACACCGTAAGTATCTAACACCAAACCTCATCTCTACAAAGTGTGTCCAATGTTGCCCGATAATGGGTGACCTCATGAGGTTTAAACTTTTGTACAACATTAAACCTATCAATCAAAAACAAATAATCGTCCAAAGTCAAGAAGTATACAGTTAGTACATACATTATTAACCATACATTATCGAAATCAAATGAAGTAAATAAATCATACCGGCATCCATAATGTGTGCCCGGCTCTGGATGAGGAGGAAGGGGTGGAGCAATGGGTGAGAATCGTATCCATGCCCAAATTTGAAGGAGAATATGGCAACCACCCATGTCGCTTCGACGGGCATCTGTCACTTCACACAAATTCCTGAACAAGTGTGTCAAAACTGCAGATCCCCAGTTGAATCGGCCAATGTCCTTAAATCCTCCACCTAGCAACGGGACAAGCCGGCAACCAAAATTGTTACCTCCAGACTTGTCCGCCAGCAACCAAGTCCCCAACATCCGGGCAATATGGGCTTTTGTGAAGTAGATCTCGGCAGCATGATTCCCTTCATGATCAGTCCACCGGGTATAATGTCGATCCAAGAATGAGATGCGGAGGTCGCCAGAATGATGGAACTCACCGGCCTCTGGAACATGTCCAAAAACAGCAGCACAAGCTGCGTGCCAATCCTCAGAGGTCGATCTGATGACGACAGTACCATCGGTCGGCAAGCCCAAGATGCCTGCCACATCTTGTAAGGTGATCGTCATCTCACCTTGGGTCATGTGAAAGGTATGTGTCTCTGGTCTCCACCTCTCGACCAGAGCACTAATTAAAAATGTATCTATCTGTGATAAATTACGCAGTTATCACGTGTTAACGAATTTTATTAAATAATTACATAAATACAAAACGACATAAATAGCATACTTGGATATGTTGCATCCTGGCAACATGTATGAAACCCGCATGTCTGAGGTACTCTTCCACAACCTGTGGAATAGCACCGGTAGGTGGGCCCCCTTGTGGCTTCCCACGCCTAGTCTTAATCTTTCTTACATGCTCAGTATTCCACACTCGCTGTGAAATATGACCTTTATGCGTCCTCTGACGAAGGACCTCCCACCTGTACGGTCCAGGTATGATCCACATGCTGGGATCGGTGGGCTCTACATCTGAATCAGATCCCGAAGAAGATGATGACTCAGCCATTATCCTCAACTAACTACAAAGTTATGCACTCCCGCATTAATAACATCATACATACGAAATTTACAAAGTCTCTAACACTATTTATAAATCACTAATTAATATGCTAAACCCTAATACATAATTAAAAATCGGTAATAATAATAACTACGTAATAATAATATTACTATATCATTACAACAGTCATAGCATGACACAAAATTTCTAAGTGACTATCCTAATGTTCCAAGTCTCTAATATACAAACAATCCTAACATGTATTACTAACTATCACTGTAATTTAAATGTATTCATATGAGGTATTATGACCTTACCTACGTTGGCAGAGCTTCGCTACGAACCGCGGTTAGAGAGAGGTTAGAGAGAGGTTGGAGAGAGGTTAGAGATGTAAATGAGTAAGGAGTGAAAAAAAGAAAGTGAGGTATATATAAGTTGCACATGAGACGCCCTCTTTGGGCGTCACATGTGACGCCCAAAGAGGGCGTCTCATTGTGCAACAGATATGTAATTTTTAACAAAACAGCATTAAATGCGTAATTATTTTATTTAATTACATTATTTTAATTTTTTTGCCGATGTATCTCTTATCATTGAAACTGACTCACGTAGGCTAAGTGCATGTGTGGTGTAATGTATAATAAAGTTTGGTAATATAAGTTTATACTATACATTATGATATTTTTAGTTATTTGATGTAGGACTTGGGTCTCTTTCTTTGGTGGGGCATCAAGTATACGTATCTTTGCCGATTAACTAATTTTTAAATGCTGGAGTAGATCCTAAAGAGATCCCACTTTCTCATGAATTTATCTTGAATAGACATTGGCGTAGGGAAGATGAATATTTTAATTTGAAATTTTTTATAGAAATATAATTTCTTATGTTGCATGAATAGTATTGTCTCGTGCACACATAAAAAAATGGTTGGAACCTAGTAATGAGAATAGAGAGAAAGAAAACAAATGATTTCACTTATTTTTTTGTATGTGCATAAGGTAATTTCTTTTTTTGAATAAATCACAAGTATCATTCACAGGAGACAATTCTGTTCGAGGCGGGTCCAGGATTAAGGTTTTAAATCTCTCCCAAAAATAATTTTATATCATGCAACATAAAAACCATATTCCTTTTTTTTATATGACATAATTATTTGAAAAGAGAGATCGGTATAAATATTTTGTTCATGATTTCATAAATTCCGGTGATAAGGATTTTTAGTTAATTTGCAATGTTATAAAAACTGGACCGACTCGGTCGGGTCGACCCGAAAACCGGTCATGTAACCGGTCTGATTTTTATATTGGACCAGCCATGTTACAGAAACGGTCTGACCCGGTGCGACCTAGTCGGTTTTCCTAAAAACCGGTGACTCGGCCCGGTCTATAAAAAAAAACTAATTTATTTTCATAAATTAATTTTTTTTTTTTTACTCTCAAACACTAATGATTTGTTTTCTTTTGAAATATTTGAGTAATTTGTAGCTTATTAACTTACATAGATTATGTACCTGTAACACTAATATTATCTTAATTATGCATTTAATTTTTATAATTTCAATTTAACACATTTATTATAGTTACAAGTTAAAACCATGTTAAGTTTTTTTGTTGGAAATATTTTTAAGAATTGATGTGAGATTAATTTTACTACTATTCATGTGATTCAAATTAACAATGTTATTAAACCCGGTTCGGTTATTGACCCGGTCGAGGAACTGAGTCACTGGTTCAACCGCATGACCCGGTAAGTATATGTAAATCTACAATTTATATTAAAAAAACTATAAATATATTTAAATTCTTGTAATAAAATATACCAATTTCAAATATTTTAATATGAAAATAATAAATTACACATCATTGTTCAACAAAAGATCAATCAAACATATAATATTTGTAATACTAGTGTTTCAGATTCAGTAAACGACATTTTTAACTATAAATCAAATCAAAATTCCTTGCATATTGCATAATCAAGATAATATTAGTGTTGTAGGTACATAATCTATGTAAGTTAATAAACTACAAATCACTCAAATATGTCAAAAGAAAACAAACCATTTGTGTTTGAGAGTAAAAAAAAAGAAGACATTAATTTATGAAAATAAATTAGTTTTTTTTTAATAGACCGGGCCGGGTCACCGGTTTTTACGAAAATCGGTCGGATCACTCCTGTTCTGTAATATGGCCGGTCCAATATGAAAATCGGACCTGTTACATGACCGGTTTACCGGTTTCTGGGTCGACCAAGCCAGATCGGTCTGATTTTTATAACATTGATAAATACAGATAACTTATCTGCAATAACTGCAAAATATTTTTCTGATAAATAAATCACACTTACGGAGAAAAAAGAGTCAAATTTTAACCCTAAATAATGGCATATGGTGGTTGTTATGAGAAAAATTTAATAATGATAATTTTTGTGGAATTAATTCTATAACAATTTTTTATATTAAAGTTTTTTTATTATAAATTCTACTATTTAGTTTCCAAGAGTTCAATGAAAGATGATACATGTAGAATAACAAAATTATTTTGTAATAAAAAAACAATAACAAAATATTTCAACTGGGTTTATGGATAGTCTTTGAGCACAATTGGAATTGGGCCGAACCAAGTGGGCTTTGGATGGCACCACCCTTGGAAATTAGGGTTTTACATATATGGCTCTCTGTTCGTAGCAGTGCCATTGACGGTGGCAATCGGAATCGGTGGAAATGGTTGCGTTGAGGGTGGGTGATGGTTATAGTAGTGGTGATAGGTTTTTAATTATTTATTTATTTTAGTCTTGAGATTGAGTTTGTGAATTTTAATGTAATGTGGTTGTGGTTGAAACAGTTTCACCAGTACCAGGTGGTGGGGAGAGCTCTTCCGACCGAAACCGATGAGCACCCGAAGATCTACCGAATGAAACTGTGGGCTACCAATGAGGTTCGTGCCAAATCCAAGTTCTGGTATGTAATCATCACAAAAACTTATCATTATATTTCATTCCATGCTTATGATGCTTATACCTGTGTATCTCTATGCTGCTTAAATTTTGTTTGTTCATGTTATTTGATTTAAAAATTGTAAGCTTCTGTTAAGAATTGCCATTGATCACTTCTTCTTTTTTTACCTTGTTAATTCTTGCAGGTATTTTTTGAGAAAGTTAAAGAAGGTCAAGAAAAGCAATGGTCAAGTGCTAGCCATCAATGAGGTATGCACATCTCAATTGTCTTAGTATATATACCTCTTGATGTCAGGATGATTGATTATGGCTGTAAAAATGTAAAATGAATTACGTTGAGCATCAATTAGTTGTTAAAAAGGGTTGCAGTGAAGCTAGATTTCTACTTAGAAGAATTTTGGAGCTTCTGTTAAGACCCTTTTTTTAACATTAAATTGCTTGCTATAACTTATGCATCTGTGTCATCCTGGGCAGGGGACCGATTATTTAATTAGGTTATATAAACAATGGAAGAAGTGAAAATATAATGCTATGCAGAGACTTTATTTGGTGGGGATTTGACTTAGTGAAGTCATTTATGCTTAGCTATCTGTTTGGAAGAGTAAATTCTCCCCTTCCCTTTTTCTTTTCGTTTTCTTGTAGTTGGTTTTTTTTGTCTAACGAAGAAATAGTTTTATTGTCAATCTTTTCCACGGTTATTATGAAATCTAACTATACAAGGGGTTCAGGATAAAAGGATGCGAAACTTTGATGATGTTAATGTTCTCAATGAGTTATTGGGGGTGGGGGGGACTTAACGAATGGAAGTATGGAGGAAGTCTCTGAAATAAACTATTCTCACTTTTGAGTTTTAGCAACATTATCATTTATCATTAATTTCTTATGTTGCCACAATGCTCCATCTCATGCTATTCACATCAACTCTTTGTTGCATTTAGTTTGAATGCCTTATATTGAAAGATAGTGGATTTTCTACTTGGAAGTTGCAAGAGTATTGCAACTGTTTTTTTGGGTGGGGGAGGAGGCTCTGTTTGCTATGGTATTATTATAAATAGATGTTTGGTTTGCTTATTTTGGGAGGAATAATTGTTTTTTATTTTTTCTCCTTCCAAAAGCTCCCTTAGAAGGCTTTTAATTTCAAAATAAGCTAATCCAAACTCACAACTAATCAGTTGTGTGCAATATATTTCCAGGGAATGTTCTTTTAGTTGTATTCTTTGAGAGTTATACCTGTCTATGAGAAGATTTTGAGGAATTATTGGGAAGAGATAACTTTATTTGACTTGTGAAGAGAGGAGGTTTTAAGACTGAAGTCAGTAAGACATTTTTATAGTTGAAACATTATGAGTGACAATTTTTCACATTGCCTTTTTGTTTGCAATTGTTCTACTTATGCAGACATTAGGAAATATAGGTAGGCTATTTGAGTTGAAAGACATTGAAGTTTGGACATTGGGTGAATCATGGTTATCAGGAAACACGTCTCATAAATTTTTGAGTACTTTCCTTTCGGAAAGTATTTTTGAGAAGGGTTTTCCCTGTTAGCTTTAGTTTTATTCTAGGTTCCAATTGCAGTCTCATTGGACATGGGTGGTTTATTTTTTGTTTATTTTTATTTTTTTCACTGATTGCAGATTTTTGAGAAAAATCCTACCAAGATTAAGAATTATGGAATTTGGCTGCGTTATCAGAGTCGTACTGGTTATCACAATATGTACAAGGAATACCGAGATACAACTCTAAATGGAGGAGTTGAGCAAATGTACAATGAAATGGCATCTCGTCATAGGGTCAGGTTGCCATGCATCCAGATAATTAAGACAGCCACCATCCCTGCTAAGCTGTGCAAAAGGGAGAACACCAAGCAGTTCCACAACTCCAAAATCAAGTTCCCTTTGGTGTTCAAAATGGTTAGGCCCCCCACTAGGAAGCTCAAGACAACATACAAGGCATCCAGACCCAACCTGTTTATGTGATTCAGTTCATCACTCATCATGGGGCTGCTTAATTCATTAGTAAACATAATTTGTCTTCTTTCAAGCTTTGAATATTTTGTTTTTGTTTTATTTTTACTTTTTGCGGAGTCCTTTATTTTACTCATTTTGATGTATTCGTTCAAGGCTGGTTGTGAATTTAGAGATGAGTTTTGTTTCCAATGCGGGTTTATCATTTCTTATTTGATATAAACTGGGGATGAGTATTTTTAGACAAGCATCACAAATAAATTTGATTCCTTGAAGTGCGATCAGTTGCGTAAATTCATCTATTTGGTGTTCTATTCATTGCTCGTTCGTTATTTATTTGGACTAATATTTTTCGAGAACATGTTTTTCTAAAATCAGACGGTTGTTTCAAGTTTCATTACCGCAAAATGCAAATATATTTGCCTATCCCTTAAAAATAATATAGGGAAATTATGCATCTCTCCAGAAATTGAAGTGAATTACACTTGAGATATCTAGACATCCTTAACCTTAAGCCTTAACCCGAAACACTGTATTCTATATACCGTTGCTGATAAGGCAAATGTACATTTGATACAGAGCTATAAACTACATTCTGTCTGTTACTCTGAGGACATTTGACGTTTAACATTACGTGAAGCTTCCAATTTATAATGAAGTTCTGTATTTCATGAAGGAGGACCACATTTACTCCTGCATGGCACTCTTGGATCTACTCAGTGAAAATTTGTATCAGCTTTTCTGTCTACCTATCTTTTATGGTTTAGCATTGGCTCTTGTCCGTTCTCTACTTATTTTATTATCACCCCAAGTGGGGATATAATTTTAACTCACGATACATGGGTTATGAGTTGAAATTGTCTACTGTATCTTCCATCTTCCACACGCATAAAATAAAAATATGGGAAAAATTGCTGATAAACTTCTATTTACATGTCTGGTAATAATTAGGACACTGTATTGAAGATTTGGCTAAACAATTTAAATAATGAAAAAAAGTCAAGTGTAATAATCATCAGTAGTAACACAAAGAAAGGGTAACCTAGAGTTTCCTACAAAGCAGCATGCAGGAATATGATTTGATATGAAGCAGAGTTATGCCTACATGATAGCGTTTTTACTTGGTAGAATGTGATTTTATTGACAATTGTTTTGCCTTTGTATTTTGTTGGTGAACAAGTCAAGCATGTTATGATAAACGAGAATTAAGCAGTGGGAAGCAGAAAATAATGTTTACCAGGGAAGTCCACCACGAACCACTTTGTCTTTTAATATATATTTAACCCTCCATTGAAATCTGACATACTATTGTTCTGAAAGTCAACATTATCCATCATAGACTCAAAAAGCCTGTGAAAGTTAACAAGTTAACCACAGAAGTTTGAAATCTCATTTCATATTATATCCCCACACTCCACTAGTTCACTTTTAACCATTAATTTTCATGCAACAACCCTTGTTATTAGCCTGTTATATTCAAAGAATCTCACATGAAGCTGAAATATATAATTTTGAAGGTTAAACTCTATTTATCTTAACTGATGAGTCCTTTCTTCCCTCAAATTGATCTTATTCTTTCCTGAGTTAGGCTCAACTGTTTAGTTGTGTTATCTGAAAAAGAAAGATAAGAGTGCTTTGAGTTAGGGCTGTCAAAAAGGTATTAGTTGACAGGTCAGTTGAAATAATCTAATAAAATGTGTGGATTATGTTAATAAAATTACTATTTTCAAACATTAATTATATAAATAAGTAAAATGCCAACCCAAATTATAATTGGCACAACTCCTCAAAGTAGTAACAGGTAAGTATCTTGGCCAGTTTGAGGAGAAATACACAATTTTCAGAATGTCCTAGTTTTGCTTTAGCATTGGAGATTGAGTTAGCCATCATCATATTTTCAACAAAATAAGAGAGAATGAGTGTTCAGCAAAATCTCATTGCTTTCCTCTTTCAAGCCAGTAATGTTTTCATCATGTTTCTCCTTGTTAGCCCATCCCAAGAGCATAAGAGAACTGCAAGCAGTCATTCAAGCAATAAAGAAAACAATATTAAGGTATTCTATTCCTGCTACATGTTCATTCTTTCCCTTGTCTACATTGCTACAGCAACTATTTTTATGGTATTAAATTAGTTAAAAGGGTCAATTGCCCCACTCATTAACTTTTAATCATGTTGAAGTGGCGATAAAAGTAGCAAGATTCCAGTCTTCCAGTTAATTTATTTGTCCTAAGGCTATTAGAAAGGAACTTTAACGAATAATCTTCTTTGTTATTAGAAGTTCCATGCTTTCTCTATCTGATTTTTTTAATGTAGAATGTGAAGAGAACAACGCAATTATGCTGTTGGCTACATTACTAACCAAGTCTCAGTAAGTCAAATCAAGGCCAGAAGTGAATAGAGCTCCATTATTAACAAAAATAACTAATTTTAATAAAAACTTTCTCGCATTGATGACCCTTGCCTTTTTAAATTATATGTACTTATGTATGTATGTTCAACAGAAGCTTGCTGCACTTCTTGCCACAGCAGAAGCAATCATGTCCATAAAAAATTTCAACAAGATTAGGGGCAGTATTATATGGTATTATCTGGCTGCAAGTCCTAGTTGGTATTTTTCATTATGTGGCTCTTTGCACACTGGATAATTGGAACTGCAGTGTCATTACTGGGTGTCCTGAATGTATTTATTGGTTTACAAGCCTACCATGAAAAAACATCAAAAAGTATAATAACTTGGAATATACTATTCACTGTTCATATATCTTTGATTGTGATCTCTATACCTTTTTCAAGACAAATGGGTCTACATAAAGAACCGAGGAGTGGTTTTGGACAATGAACTACTGACTCCCACTTATTAAGAATTTTGTTCAGATGACGAGGAGAAGGCATTGAAGACCGAGTCTTATTAAGGAAGATGAATCAATGCCTTGCGATCACAGACCCTGACTTCTAAACAGATAGATTTTTGGGTTGAATTGGTTCTTGACAATTAATACAGTGAAACTCCAAACAACCAATACAAGGGGAGAAAATAAGTAATGAGCTAAGAAATTCTATTGAGTATCATTAATTATATCATATTTCAAGGAAAAAGCTGTACATAACCGGTTAATATAGCAATTCCTAGTATTATAAAAGGTGGAAGAATCACAAATGCTCCTATGGTTGCAAAGAACACAGAATCATTCCTTTGAGAAACTTCGTTCAGGTAAGCTTGTCTCTTAATATTTCTCCTTTGTGAAATGGTCAAGAACTTTGCACTCACTTTCTTCAAGTTTTTACCAAGGGGTAGGCTGAAATCATCATCCCTTTCTCCAACCAACTGTGCAAGCTGCTCGCGGATTGTAAGTTTCCGAGAGCTGCCATCATTTTCATAACCTGTTAACCAGAAATGTTGCCATAGTTGTTATCCTTTTACCAAAACTCAACAAAGAAGAAAAACCAAATATAAGAAAGAGGTTATAAAGATAGATGGCTATAATATTTCTATCCCTTTACATAAATCATTGAGATATACATGCTTATCAGGAGTGATACATTGACATCCATATAAAGGCATGAGAAAATTTCAAAAGTTGGACAATGCAAAGAAGAGGAGGGGGGGATAGGCATATTATCATACCAAAAACATAGGCTTCCTTTTTCACTCAATTTTCGAACTTTCATATATACTATGAATTATTAAACACATTACCATGAATGAACAAATCATATAACGACAGTCAAATATTGCTATGGAGTTTGGTCTATGCTTAAGAGTATTACATGATCTCAACGTTATTTTTTGTACTCTAAATTGTATACGATGCAGTTAAACATGGAAGGCATGGTAGCATCAAAGTCAAGCACTTCCATCATATTTTAATGATGTGGCAGCAACATAATCAGTTTGCACCTTATGATTTCAAAGGTACTACTCTTGCTTTTTAGGACATGTACCTTCTTCAGGCATGTGTGTACCTTCCGCATATTCACTTAAACTAACAAGCTAACAACAAAACAGAAGAAGGGATATTTAACAGGCATAAAGTTGCATTACAAAACCATAGGACAACTAATTCTTCTCCCCTACACATGTCTTTGATTTAAAGGGAAGGGGAGATTGTTGTAAATAATATTGATTTAGTTATTATTTAGTTTTTATTTAGTCATTTATTGTTGTATTGGGCCAAGCCCTTTGTTGTATTGGGCCAAGCCCATTAGGTTAAAAGTAGGTCAAATATTCTCTATAAATAGAGAACCCTTTGTACAGATTATTTACAATTCTATAATATATTAGAATACCCTTTTTCAAGTTGGTATCAGAGCTCTCGATCTGAGGGCTTTGCTTCCGCACATATTATCTTCTTTTTTAACAAAACCCTAATTTCTTTGCCTCTTGTCGCCATTAGCCGCCATCGGAAAATTTTTCCGGGGACCTTTTGGACCAAGGGGACTATTGTTGACCTTATTTTTCCTCCGATCTATCATTCTACGCAGTGTTCCTCCGCCACAAACGACCGAAACACCTCCGACCGCCTCCAATCAGATCTGTCTTCACCGTTTGGACCACTTTCCGGCGACTTTTCAACCGCGACCACCCACAGACAGGTGCGCGCTCACCGGACGACCACACCAGAAAAATCTCAGCCGGCGAAGCCCATCCACGCGCTCTCACGCGCCGCCCCTTTCCCGGCGAGTGAATCCCACGCGCAGCTCCTTTCTCCGGCGCGTGGAGGCGCGTGCGGCCGTGTTTTTGGACCGGACCACCACCATTCTTCTCGTCTTCTTGTCTTCTGTTGGATCTGTAATTATTTTTCTGATCAGAGGTCATTTGATATTCTGTTTGGTTGATTTTATCGCTGGTTGTTAACTTTTTTTTGTTAAAGAATGGCCGAGCATGATAGTTCTTCGATCTTATCTGGTAAGAGCACACGTTCTATATCTCTTCTTGCTTCTTGCACTGATTTTAAAACCTCATGGATTTTGGATTCTGGTGCAACTGATCATATGGCTTGTCGTACTGAGTTGTTTTGTTCTTATCATCCTACTGTTGGTAGTCATACTATATCCGTAGCTGATGGATCCCATAAATCAGTTATTGGTTCTGGTAACATTCAAATTCAACCTTCCTTGTTTCTTAAAAATGTTCTTTATGTTCCTCAGCTTTCTACTAATCTTATCTCCACTCAAAAACTTACAACTGATTTGAATTGTTCTATCACATTTTTTCCTTCTCATTGTCTTATTCAGGATCTTACCACGAAGAAGACAATTGGAGTTGCTAATGAACAGGATGGGTTGTATCATCTCCTTCCAGACCATGCTAGCAAAAATCAGTTATTAATGACACGTCATCCTTCTACTGCAGAGTCTATGATTTGGCTCCATCACAAGCGTCTCGGGCATCCACCATTTAGTCTTTTGAAGTCTATGTTCCCCTCTCTGTTTCTCAATAAGTCGGTTGAGACCTTTCATTGTGATGTTTGTGAATTTGCAAAACACCATCGAGTGTCATTTCCTTCTAGCACTATTAAAAGCAGGGAACCTTTTTCTCTTATCCATTCTGATGTTTGGGGCCCTTCTAAAGTGCACAGTGTTTCAGGTGCTAGGTGGTTTGTTTCTTTTATTGACGATTGTACTCGGATAACATGGATATACTTGATGAAAGACAAGTCTGAAGTACCAGAGATATTTATTCGGTTTCATCACATGGTTGAGACTCAGTTTGGTAAGGGTATTAAAAGACTCAGATCTGATAATGGTACTGAGTACGTCAATCAACGCCTGTCACAATTCATTTCAGACAGAGGTATGATTCATGAGCTCACATGTGTTGATACCCCTCAACAAAACGGGGTTGCTGAAAGGAAAAATCGTCACCTTCTTGAAGTTGCTAGAGCATTACTTTTTCAGACATCTGTTCCTAGTTCTTATTGGGGAGAAGCAGTATTAGCTGCAACTTTTTTGATCAACCGTTTACCTTCACGGGTCCTTAACAATATCCGTCCTATTCATTCCATGACTTCCTTCTTTCCTTCTGTTCCCATATTGCAGAGCCTTCCACCAAGAGTGTTTGGATGTGTTGCCTTTGTCCATGTTCATAAACAACATCGGAGTAAGTTGGATCCTAGGGCTCTTAAGTGTGTCTTCCTTGGTTATAACCCTTATAAAAAAGGGTACAAGTGTTATCATCCACCAAGTCGGAAATTTTTTGTTTCTATGGATGTCACCTTTCAAGAATCTGAATCTTATTTCCTGGGTCCTCATCGTCAGGGGGAGAATAGTTCTTCAGAAGACTCGTCCCCTTCCTTCTTTGAGTCTGGATCAATCTTCTCTCTTCCTAGTGTGTCTGCTCCTGGTGTGTCAGAACCTTCAAATACACCTGAGATACAACCCATACTGTCTCACCAGCAACCTCAATCGTCTGAACCACTGGTAAGTCCTGAATCTCCTATTTCTTCTGAGTCTCCTGAATCTCCTGTTTCTGATTCTAATATTATTTCCTCTCATGATTTGTCTATTTCTTCTGATATCTCTAATGACTTACCCATTGCTTCTACTTCTGATGACTTACCTATTGCTCTTAGAAAAGGAAAAAGATCTTGTCACAAGAAAACTTGTTCCTCCTGTCCCTCTTGTACTCAATACCCTATCTCCCACTTTGTTTCCTCTGCTAATCTTTCTGTGCAGCACAAAAGCTTTGTTTCAGCACTAGATTCTATTGCAATCCCAAAATCAGTACATGAAGCCTTGAAAGATAGGAATTGGGCTCAAGCCATGCAAGAGGAGATGAATGCTTTGGAGAAAAATAAAACATGGGAGGTTATTGATAGACCCAACGGAAAGAAAGCAGTAGGGTGCAGATGGGTTTATGCCCTGAAATATAATTCTGATGGCACTCTTGAGAGATATAAGGCTCGATTAGTGGCCAAAGGTTACACTCAAACCTATGACATTGATTATGAAGAAACCTTTGCTCCAGTTGCAAAGATGAATACAGTGAGAATCTTGTTATCCCTTGCTGCCCATTACAATTGGGATATAAATCAATTTGATGTGAAAAATGCTTTCCTCAATGGTGAGTTAGAAGAAGAAGTCTACATGGAAATCCCGCCTGGTTTTGATTCTGTGAAGGGGGAAAATAAAGTTTGTAGATTAAAAAAGGCCTTGTATGGATTGAAGCAGTCACCTCGTGCTTGGTTTGGAAGATTTACTAAGGTTATGATGACCTTAGGATACAGACAGAGCCAAGGAGATCACACTCTTTTCTTCAAGCACTCCCAAAATGGGAAGCTTACTGTGCTCCTTGTATATGTTGATGATATTATTATCGCAGGTGATGATTTTGTGGAGAGACAGATTCTGCAAACACGACTTGCCTCTGAGTTTGAAATCAAAGACCTTGGGAAACTGAGATATTTCCTAGGGATAGAAGTAGCTCATTCAAGCAAAGGAATTTTTATCAGCCAGAGGAAATATGTTCTTGATCTTCTCAAAGAAGCAGGAAAGCTCGGGTGTAAACCCTCTAATACTCCTATTGAGCAGAATCACAAGATGGGCTATGAAGAAGAGAGTCCTCTAGTTGATAAAGGACAATATCAACGGCTAGTTGGGAAATTGATATATCTGGCCCATACTAGACCAGACCTAGCTTATGCTGTTAGTGTTGTCAGTCAGTTTATGCACGATCCAAAAGAAAAACACATGCAGGCAGTAGAGAGAATTCTTCAGTATCTTAAAGGTACTCCTGGTAAAGGATTGTTATTCCGACGTGATGGCAATCTATTTTTAGAAGTCTACACAAATGCTGATTATGCTGGATCCGTGACTGACCGTCGTTCTACCACTGGTTATTGCATGTTTCTTTGCGGTAACTTGGTGACATGGAGAAGTAAGAAACAAGATGTGGTTGCCAGATCAAGTGCAGAAGCTGAATTTCGAGCTATGGCTCAAGGCATTTGTGAGTTACTGTGGCTGAAAATTGTTCTTGATGATCTCAAAATAAAATGTGAGGGACCTATGAAGCTGCTATGTGATAATAAGTCCGCTATTTGTATAGCTCATAATCCAGTTCAACATGATCGGACTAAACATATTGAGGTTGACCGCCATTTCATCAAAGAGAAACTTGATAGCGGGTTGATTACCACTCCATACATTCCCACTGGGCGTCAATTGGCTGATCTATTAACAAAGGGGCTTCCTTCAGACAAATTTCAAGAACTTACTAGCAAGCTGGGAATAATAAATATCTATTCCTCAGCTTGAGGGGGAGTGTTGTAAATAATATTGATTTAGTTATTATTTAGTTTTTATTTAGTCATTTATTGTTGTATTGGGCCAAGCCCTTTGTTGTATTGGGCCAAGCCCATTAGGTTAAAAGTAGGTCAAATATTCTCTATAAATAGAGAACCCTTTGTACAGATTATTTACAATTCTATAATATATTAGAATACCCTTTTTCAAGTGAGATGTTAACTTACATACCACTAATGGGTGAGCTTGTAGATGTAAGTTGCTCCAAAAGATCCAGCTGTGCACGAGAAGAAGATAATGATCCTAACAATAAAAGTCCTCAAAAGCAAGTCAGAGATTTCCCAGACTAAGGCATGAACAATAAGCACATATTGGAATATTGAGAAGAATTTATACAAATTTAGACCATTATGATAAAACATTAAAAGAAACTTTGGAACATGGTGAAGAAATGAAGCTGTTTTTCATGTACTCATACTCCATTTTTTTACCCCTTCCTACTATTTATTATTATTTTTCCTCTTACAGAAATTAAACGCATAAAAAAAAAATCCTTGCGGATGCAACAATGAAAGGAAGAATGATTAAAATACTAACAGACATAACTTTGAGTGCCAATAAAACAAGAAAGGAGAAGTTTATTCTGTAATTCAACATCTAATATGAAAATACACATATTTGAATTCAATCCAAAAATAAATAAATAAATAAAAAAAAGAGTGAAATAGGAATTGTTGAGATACCAGAAGAAGAATCCTCCTCTGTAAGTCCAGTGTCAGTCCCTTGTGATTGAGCACATGTTCTGCTTAAAGAAGAAGAATGGTAGAATTTGATGTGGTTGTTATGTTTGGGGGTGAGAAAGGAAGGCTTTGAGTGAAGAGAAACAGCAGTGCTGAGATTGATGGCCATGGAGTTTTGCTTCATCATAACTTAATAGCAACAGTGAATGCCATTCATTTTTGGTTTGAGGTTTGAAATTTCAATTGGGTATTGGATGATAATAATATATAATTGGGTAAAGGCAGTAGCTCACTGCCACAAATATTATTTTATGTAATTATATGGAGAATTCTAGTTCCATGTAGGACAAAAGAGTGAACGGGTGTCCCAAAACTCTAGTATCCTAAGAAGTAGTCACGTATTTTCCTGAACTAGATTTTAACCGAGTGGTTCGGTTTGTATTCATACGCAAGGCGAAACTAATTTTATAAAAAGAGTAAATATCTTTTTTGTTCCTCGTTAAATTTCACGATGTCTACTTTAGTCTCTATCTAAAAAAGTTTATTGTGATCCCTAAGAAATTTAAAATGAACCTATTTTAGTTCTTTAGGGACTAATATAGATCTTTTTTGAATTTGTGAAGACCACGATTTCAACTAAATAGGTCTATTTTAAATTTCTTAGGGACCACGATGGATCTTTTTATTTGCTAGGGACTAAAGCGGATAGCGTAAAATTTGCTGAGGACCAAAAAATATATTTACTCTTATAAAAAAGAAAGGGAAAATGATTTCTCTAGTTGTGACAAAAATTATTTCTCTCATAGAGAAAATGAGAAATAGAAACATAAAGGATGACAGAAAAAAATGATGGGGGAACCTACATCTTTTTACTCTTAGACAGATGATTTCTGCTGTAGAAATTAGTTATTTTGAATGGGTGTTTGGTAAAGGTTTATTTTCAAATTCTCGAAAAAGTGAGGGTGATAATCTAATTTATTCATGTTTGATTGAAAATTTTCTTGGGAATGTGATTTCCCTAAGATTTTATTTTCTTTGTAAAATATAAACCAAAATCAATCCAAGAATACCATCTAGAAGGAGACATTCTCACTTTTTCGAAAAAATGAAAAAATTAGATGTGAAAATTCTCTCAAAAATCTCGGTAATATTTTACTATATCAAATAACTTTTTGATATCATTTTCAGAAAATTTATTTTTCCACCATATTTCCTAGAATTGTGATTCTGGGTAAACAAAATTTTCTCTTTTACCAAACACAAGAAATTTAGAGAGTTTTTGTTTAAAGATTTCTGGAAAACTGGAAGTGGTAATCTAAGTTACCCACATTTGGTGGAGGATTTTTAAATTTTTCTCGGAGGAATATGATTTTTTCGGGATTTTGTTTTCAAAGCAAAATTTAACCAAGAATACCATCCCAAAATATCACCCTCTACCCAGAGGATAGTATTCTTAGATTTCCCGGAAAAAAGAAATTTAACACATTTTTAACAATATTTTATCATCAACCAAATATATCATCAGAAAAATTAATCAAACATTACCTGGAATATATTGACTTACCAAATAGCTTTTTTAGAGAAAGCCAATTTTTCACCATATTCTTAAAAATCATGATTCTCGAAAAAAATTTTTTTGCGTAAATGCCAAAAAGAAATCATAACTATGATAGTTCAATTTATTTAATAATCTGTTACGGGTTTGTTATTTTTTGAATTGTCAGTTTGTTTAAGTTAATAGGTAGATTTTAGTACTAAGTAATTACTACATAAGTGCTAATAATGGGTTGTTTGTTTTAGTTTAATATATTTAGTTGTTGTTCCAGTGTGTAGTTATTATTTTAAAATTTTATTTAATTTATTTAAATTCTAATCTGTAGATAAATTACTTGGAAAAATATTTTGTGCAAGAAGTCAATCTTTCTCGATAAAGTTATTCTTCTATGTTGTATCCAAAAAAATAAAATTATTCTTCTCTGTATGTAACATAATCCAACAATATATAATTAAACCTATATATTAAAAAGAGAAGGTTTTTTTGACTCTAGAGTAAGATTTTTAAGTCTTATTCCTCAGTTTAACCATTGATAAACAGAAATCAACGATTATCATCTATAATGTAATTAATAATTAATTAATTAATATAATTTATAAATCTTATTCTAGAGTCAAATGATTCCTCTTCCATTAAAAAATTTTACACTAAAAAATAGATCAAAATAAAACTTAAAAGGGGATTATCTAGTCACCAAACACATAGATGAGCTATTGTTCGCGCTTAAACAGTGATTTCAAGTTAGAGTTTTGAGTGAATATCATTTTCGCCCTCAGCAAATTTTACGATGACTACTTTAGTCCCTATCAATTAAAAAGGCTATTCGTGGCTCCTAAAAAATTTAAAGTGGACCCATTTTAGTTCTTTTGAAGGACTAATATGGATCTTTTTTGAATTTGTGAGGGACCACGATTTCAACTAAATGGGTCCATTTTGAATTTCTTAAGGACCACGAAAAACATTTTTTTTTATTTGTTAGGGACTAAAACGTGCATCGTGAAATTTGCTGAAGACCAAATAGGATATTTACTCTAGAGTTTTAGATATATAATAATGTTAAATTGTGATAGGGAGAGTTTAGACTTCCTCATCCTACCCCGCTGGAATTTCAATTAGTTGCTCCAGTGGTGGACCCACTTGCGGACAAATGCGGTCATAAAAAATTTTATTTTAGTTTTTTTTTTTGTTGCAGGTCCTTATTTGTCTCTTGGTTCAATATATATATTAGGAGTAGATACCTTTTTAAGTCCCTAGCAAAAAACATAATCCCCATTTTAATCCCTTACAAAAAAAAATTAGTCTCGAGGTCCCTAAAAAATTTAAAGTAAATCAATTTAGTTAAAATCGTGGTCTCTCATAAATTCAAAAAGAACCTACATTAGTCTCTCAAAAAGACCATAATTGGGGTCCACTTTGAATTTCATAGGGACCAGGTGACTAATTTTTTTTATAATGGACTAAAGGGGGCCGAATTTTTTGTTAGGGACGAAAACAAATATTTATTCTTATATTAGTTAGCAACGTATGGAAATGATTAAAACAACGTAGCAGCGCGAATTGAATAGAGAGAAAACTTATTCTTCCTCCCTTGTCACGTACCCATTCACATGCTCTCTTCATCCTTTGTTTCCTTTTTTCATTTGTATAAAAAGAGATGATTGGTTGCAGGTCTGACATTCTCAAATAAGTTAATATCTAGAGACGATGCCTTCACTGTGATATTGTTTGTCTTATGTACTAGTAGTGTTGACTTGTTTATTCACCACTATAAAATAGAATGATGGTGTAGGGCAAGATTTAGGGGGAATAATTGGTCAAACTATTGCATGCAGAGCAACTAGATTATGAGCGAGTTTAAGCGTTGATTTAAAATTTCTTTACAAAAAAAAATTTCGGGGGCGAACCCCCACCACTAAATGTGCAGACATAAAAAAAATTTCCTGGGTCCGCCACTGAGTTGCTCCACATTGGCATACTGGATGGTTTATTAAAAAAAATATATCAATAATTCCAAGTGAGATTATCATAAGGGTTTAGTGTGTGTCTTTTTAAAGAATGTAAGTTGTGTCCTTTTAGTGATTTATATAAAATCTGACCAATCATACTTTGTATAAATCTGAAAAGTTATTTTTTTTTTTCAAATTTACAACAAAAATATTATCAGTTATACCTTATATAAATCACTAAAAGACACAAGTGTCCTTAAAAAATGATAGTTGTTTTTCCTTGTAAAGGGCGTTACGTGCGTTGAAATGAAAATTGACCGTTAGTTGCGCATCGAAAATGAATAGTTCTTTTGAAAGTTTTTTGATTATTTAAGAAAAGGGCAAAGTCGAATAGGATGCCAACTATCTCCAACAGGCTTTCACAATGGAAAGTTAGCACCTTTCCTTAATAGGAGCATACGGCCTTTGTCTGCACAATCATCACCATGCGTTGCAAACAACACAACTAAGAAACCAACTAGGCTTGTGTTCTTTGCTACGTTGATGGCAAACAAGGTGGTTCCTCATGAAGCTCACCCTTATGCCTTTCATGTCTCTGGCCCTCGCAACTTGACTACCCTCAATTGGAGAGACCTTATCAGTTCCAGTTGGTCAGTACCCATTTCAATTCTTGATTGGACTTCATTTATGCTTCAACTTTCATGTGAAAGATTTTAAAATTGTAACTTGTTATTGGGGTGTTGAAAGAAAGCAATATTAGTAGTGTGCATGATGTCTTGTGTGAAGAAGTCTCATTTTGCTGGTATAAAGTTGCAAACTTTATCAAATGGGTTTGCAAAATTCTGGAATTTAAGGGTTCTGGTTGAAGCAACCCATCATGAAATGGAAAAAGATTTCAAAACTTATCAACTGGTTTTTATCTATAGTAACAAATTAGAGATGGATTGCTTGGATTTTAGATATCTAAATTATAGAATTAAGGGGCTTTCCAAAACTATAGTGGTTAATGGTATGTATTTTGTTTTAGTTGCCTTGAGATGTCAATCAGGGACTGCCTTTATAATGTCCAAGTTATAATTTTGGTAATTCTTGATTTAATGTGTCTATTTGTTGTAATCTTCATTCGGCTACCCAAATTCTTAGTTACTGTAATTATTAAGCATTTCGAATAGAGTTTTGGGGACCTGATTTGCAGCAATTCCATAAATGCTATCAGTAATATCAATATGATTATTTTCTAAAGGGATTGGCTACGATAAAGATTTAACTATGACTTGGAATTATGAATTAGCTTAACTTTCGGTAGAGCCATGATAAAGAAAAGAAAGCGTTCACAGATTTGTGTTGTGGATTGCGTTAGAAGCTTTTTTTTTTTTTTTTTTCTTATTCAAATCTGTTTCGGGTCATTTTAAATTTTGATTTATGTCATGGATCTTTGATTGTATGAATTTTGTTGTAGGCATGTTAACATGAGAGTAACATGTTGGCAATAACTCTAGCAAGACCCCTTTACCCTTCATTTGTGACATTCACATTCATTTATTACATTTGTGGACGCTGATAATTATTTTGTTAATACAGGAAGGATGCAAATTATAAACGAACTGTCATTGCCTGCTTTATACAGGCAGCTTACTTGCTTGAACTTGATAGACAGGAGAACAGAACACAAGAAAATGCTCTAGCACCAAAATGGTGGATTCCCTTCAAGTTCAAGCTCACACAAACATTGATTGATGAAAGGGATGGATCCATTTTTGGTGCAATTCTTGAATGGGATCGATCTGCAGCAATGGCTGACTTAGTACTGATTAGACCAAGTGGTGCCCCTAGAGCCGTTTTAGCCCTCAGAGGAACATTACTCAAAAGCCCTTCAATGAGAAGAGATATTGAAGATGACCTCCGTTTTCTTGCTTGGGAAAGCTTGAAGGGTTCTGTTAGGTTCAAAGTAGTTTTGGAGGTACTAAAATCAATTTGTGATACATATGGAAGCAGTAATGTATGCATTGCTGGTCACTCCTTGGGGGCTGGTTTTGCTCTTCAGGTTGGAAAGGTACTAGCAAAAGAAGGGATTTATGTGGAGGCACATTTGTTTAATCCACCTTCTGTTTCACTAGCCATGAGTCTAAGAAATATTGGAGAAAAGGCAGAGGTTATGTGGAATAGACTTAAATCTATGCTTCCTTCAAATAGCAAAACTCAAGTCAGCAATGAAGGAGACAAGACTTCTGGTGTTGGAATTAAGGATGCTAGTTTTGCGGTGGCAAAATGGGTTCCTTATTTGTATGTTAACAGCAGTGACTACATATGTTGTTATTATACTGATGGTGATGGCACAGCAAAGATTGTTAACAAGGAGAATATGGGTCATACAAAGGGACAAATTGCAGCAAAGTTGTTTGTTGTCTCCAAGGAAAAACAGAAATTTCTTGAGGCTCATGGCCTTGAGCAATGGTGGTCAAGTGATGCAGAACTTCAGCAGGTTATCCATAATAGCAAACTCATAAGCAGGCAGCTTAGATCTTTATACACTGGTAATCCTTCCCAAGCAACATAGAGTAACAATATATTGAATTTACTCTGCTACATTGGGAAATCACTCGTTTTCAATGTTAAATAAATCAACCTGTTTTTGCTTGTATTCAAGCCTTGCAACTTCTTGTTTCCTTACTTTTTTTTTTCTGTTTGCCTTTGAAATAAATTGTATCATTTTACCGTTAATGTTGTGTTTAAGGATTGATAATCTTTGAAATATCAATGATAATTGAATTTTGCTTCTAATATCAAATATTTGCATTTCATTTTTATTTTTCTAAATTATAGGATTTTAATCCTAGTTTAGGAACTAATCGAATTCTTGCATAAGAGATTTACTTTCTCCCATACTTATCGGTTGATCTGCCATGAAGAAGACGTTTTGATCGCAGTCCAGTGAACTTGTAGTCGTCGTATATGCTGACCTCTTGTTCAGTGTGATCAGGTACAACAACAAAAATGCCATCTTTTTTAAAAGAAAAAGAACAAGAAAAAAAGGCAATATACCATGAATAAAAGAACAGGATAAATTATTATTAATCTGATCGGTAAACCATGGTTAAGTGAAGGGGGATGAGAGTAAAGGGAATGGAAAGAAAGATGGACATCCTATGGAGAATCGAAGTCGTCCCTTATCTTATATAAGACAAGGCAATATACCGATATCTAAAAGCAGGGGTAAGCTTCGTGCTTTTTTATGAGGTCCACTCACAGAGATACAGTAGATTTTTTTTATGTACCACTAACTTAACATCCAAATCATGTGCATTCATCATTTAAGACAGCATAGCTGTTTTATCTTTTATCTATACTTTGATAGGACCCACTAGTTTAAATGAAAAATAATAACGTAAATTTTTCAACCCAAAAGTAACGTAATTATTGCACGAAGCTGCCACAAACTTCTTGAGAAAAATAAATTGAACAATTAGATAAATATAGTTTACATTATACATGAAAGATATATAAGACAAGATGAAATAATCGACTCCATGTCCATTATAGGGAAGTTCACTACAGCACTTATTTCTATCTTCCATCAAAAAGCTATCTTTCTCTACATCGAATATAACAACAATTTAATAGGAAACTCGAGATTAAACAATAGCAGTAATTCCATTTAATAAAGAGGAAAGAAAGAAAGAATACAAAAGAAAAAAGAAAAAGAAAAACCTATTAAATCACATCAGTGACTTTCCAGATTGCTGTCCAGTGAGTTTTTGAAAAGGGTTTAGTCGCGGAAACATGAGGAGGAAGAGGTCTGCTAGTTCGGCTGGCAAGCATGAGGTACAAACATTTTATACGATTGTACATCATAAAATTTTGTACCCTGTTCTTACCACCAGAACTCGCAAGACTCTTCCTCCTCATGTTTCTGCGACTAAACCCTTTTCAAAAACTCCCTGGATGGCAATCTGGAAAGTCACTGATGTGGTTTAATTTCCTAGACTACAAATTATTTACTGGATCAAGACTTTGAGGAAGCCTGAATCTTTTCAGTCAACGATGAACCCAATTGAAGCATAAGAGGATAAACCGGGCTAAACTCTTTATCTCCCCTGCTCCTTACATTAGCAGCATAATCATCAAGTGTTGCTTTGATACCCTTCCAGATTTGATCCTCCCCTTGAGAATCTAGCCACAATGAATACTGCAATGGTGTTAGTTTGTTTCTTTGCAGTGGTGACTGCAATTCTTGAGGACCACGAGTATACAGATGATGAAGTACGACATTTAGTGGCAGATCTTGAAGAAGAGATGATGATGCAAACTGGGATGTTTCCAAGAAAATAAGTGGACGAAATGCTCGAAGTGCTCGATACGGTGCACCAAGTTGCTCAACAGGGAACAGATTTTGGCCCACAGCTAACTCCAATTCAGCCATATCCCTAGCCATCCTCAACTTGCCAGATTCTGAGAGCGGTCTGACAAGAGAAGCATGTCGGATGAAGAATACTAGAACACGTGAAGCCATACTCTGGACAAGCCTGGTGCAAATGTTCTCTATCCCCGGAGCTGTAGTAGTTCTGGAAGGCAACAACCTAGATAGAAACTCACTGCGAAAGTGAAGAATACACTTTTGGAGATCCTCCATGTAAGGTGATGCATTGTTGTCCATAGCAGCATCCATCCCAAGCACTCCAAAGTTCTGATCATGTATTTGCAATATGCAAGATTCAAGACGATCAAGCATTGCCTGGAATAAAGATGTTACTGAGTCACAGGCAACACCATATATTGCACCTAACGAAGCAGACAACACATCTGCAGCAATACTGGGCATTCCTTTAAGTATAGCTGATATTCGTGTATGAACCTCTTGCAGATGCTGGCACAATGTAAAGTTTTTGAGCTGTGCCTGTGTTGCAGGACCACTTACTTGACGTGATTCAGGACCAGTGGATATCTGCCGTAACAAAGAAAATGAATACTTTAAAGATTAGAAACTATGCTTCTATAATAGTACTTCCTTCTCATGAATAAAATGGACTCTGGGTTTCTAAAGTTAACAAAAATTCATACACAAAAGGGAAAACCGATGCAAAAGGCTCCCCGCCTTTGCGAGGGGTAAGGGTGATCGTTGATTTGTACGCACTCTTACTCTTGTATTTTTGCAAAAAGACTATACACACTCTTACTCTTGTATTTTTGCAAAAAGACTATTTCAAGACTCACAACCTGTGACCTTCTGAAAGGTCACAAAAGAGCAATTTTAACACTGCTCCAAAGCTCGTACACAAAGAAGAAGCAGAAAAAAACGCCTTTAAGTTCCAGAGAAAACATACATCAGCAGCAATTGTTGTATTACAAACCCTCAAACAAATATTAAAAGGGACCAAAAAGATCCGACTCTCCCCCTCAGGAACAAAAGTGGGTGTGACATTGCACGTTCCAGAGTCATGAAGTGTGCATCTCTTAAAATCAATCCCTCAAAAACTAAAACGTGGACAAAGCACTGGGTTAACCACTACCTTTGACTGAAACCTAACACATTTTTGGATATAAAGATTTAATCACAAGAATTTTTAATGCGTGTTTGGATTAGCTTATTTAGTGGCCAAAAAAGCTTTTTTTAAAATAATAATAATAATAATTAAATTCTAAGAGCTTTTGGAAAAAAGAAGATTATTTCACCATAATTAAGAGTTTCCAAACATGCTATAAGTATGTGTTTGGATTAACTTATTTTGTGGGGAAAAACTTTTATTTAACAGCTTCGTAAAAGAGCTTTAAAAAATAAGATTATTTCCCAAAAAAAAAAAAAGAAGCTAAACCAAACATGCAATGAGGGCAACTTGGCCCGGCTGACTCACTAGACCATCTGATCAACTGGGTTCAGATATCACGTCAAAGAACCAAGTTAAAACCACTACACCCTTCAAGTTTCTACCATTTAAACATGACGAGGCTTTAGTAAATACCTATCCTCAGTCATTTTGTCTCCCCAAATCACGAGTCACGACAAATACAACACTTTAGGTAATACTATCAGTAAAATGTTTGATAAGTCTAGCCAATGTTTGATAAGTCTAGCCAAAACATAAATAATTTAACATACTGAAAAAGAAAAAAGTGATTAAGTTAAATAATTGAATGGTCTCTAATCACTACAATGTGATACATACAAGATGAGACACACACGAACTCCTCAATGAAAGAACACACAATTGTTATCTATTGATATATGCATGTAGTTAACAATAACATGATTAATTGTAGTTAGCAAGATGTTCCTTCTTCTGAATATCCATTGTTTCCTTGTCATAAAATATTCTTTTACCAAAAATAATAAAGATGTAAAAGTTTACTTTATAGCCTTTCTGAAAACCTATGGGCTAGCTAGTATTGAATTCCTTCCCGAGCCAATTAACGTAATTCATAAAACATCTTATAAACAGCATACAACACCTTGAATACAATAACATATTTTATATTTACCTGGTATTCAGCCCGTTCTGCAAGAAGAAGCAAAACCTTGCCAATTTCACGCAAAACAAGAAGAGTTAAGCGTGCATCCACCTGAACAGCTTCTATCTCTTCCTGAATTCGTGATATAACTCTTGATATTTGTTCCTTGGAGGGAACACTTCCCCGACTGGACATTGGAAAAATAGAATTGACTAGATCTGAAAGGCGACTCAAGCAATGAGCCAAAAATGCAGTCTGGAATATTTCGACAGCTGAAACTATCTGCTCTTTTCCACTAGAATTAATAGCTGGTAACACTCCTTTGACATCTGTGTCACGTGAAATTCTTTCAAGGAGATTCTCTATCATGGAGTAAAGCTTTGGATATCCCATTGTAAGGATTTCTTTAACAAAACTCGATGCAGTGAAAGCAGACTTCATTTGGCTTGCAAAAGCCTTTGCAATGGCCTCCCAGACCCGATCTGTTAGCATGGGATCACCTTCCTATGCAGCAGCAATCAATGTTAGAAAATGAGGGAAAAAACCAATTAGAAAATAAGAAAGAGCAAACAATAGCAGCTAGAATAAGTACAGTCAATGTTCCTCGTGTAATAACTCAATACTGTCAATGTATAATAGATCCTGAAAACCCCAAAACCTTTAGGAAAGTCCATTGAATGGGTTTCTTCGCAAATGGCATAAAAACATAACATTTTTCAAAACCTTGGATAAAAGGCAAGATAAAAAATGCAATGCAAATTCTTTTACATGTAAAATATTGACCACCTTATTCACGATGTCTACATAAAGCGCAGTAGCGTTTCAAAAGATTGCATATTGATTTTCATCCAATTCAATGCAATCCATCTAGTGCCATTTGATGAATCCAAACCAAATGTGCAAGCATGAACTTTTACAATTTCTTTACCCTGCATCCTATACACGGCGAATTCTAAGAGGGAAAGGTCCTAGACTGTATAATATTGGATAAAACTGGAAGCCTATTTGAATAATTTAACAGAAAGGGAAACAAAATTTGACTTTGATCTCCTTACTCTCCATTTATAGGTTGCACAGTAAAGCACAAGTCACCACACCATATCTGTTAACAGTGACTTTACAGCACACTAAAGGAAAAGAAGACCAAGAGAAAAGGAAAGATAAATGACTTGTGTCGCACAGAGAATTATCACTTTCAGAAAATGAAATATTATTACACTTTTGGGATCTCTAACATTTATGGATCTATTACACTGTTGCAATAGAATCTTAGATCTTTGTCATGTCAGTTTCTACAGAAAAAAATGAACATATATGTTCAGAAATTGATAATTATTGACTCACTTAAAGCTTTTAGTGCAATCCTCCATTTCTTCCATTCAGTTAGGAAGTGTGACACACAAAAGAAAAGCTCCCACACACTAGACTTCACATTAAATCGGGCGCAAAAAACTGAAAATAAAGTATCGTCTTTGTGCTAACAATTTCTGCAAGTTCCAAACTTCAATTCAACCCCCAAAATTTGGATACTTTAACGCAATGAAAATTTTAAACTTTAAGTGAGCCATAGTGTATTCGATACAAAATTATATCTCTAAATCCATTCCATTAGAAAAATTACCCAGTTTAATCACAACAGAAATTTCCACATAGACTTGGGCATTCAGAGGACAAACACTTGGGAGTATATATGCAAGTTATGAATCCAAGTAACACATGATTTGATCAATGCCTAAGATTTTGTTTTCATGTAAATGAACTACGATTACAAATTTTTATCACCCTTACCTGAATGACCTCATCAAGCAGCAAAACGTGGGTAAAGGGATCGCGCTTTTTTGAAAGCACCCTCTGCAAATGCCACACGGCGACAGCAATCGAATGCAATTGATCCATACAATTCCCCAACCTCTGCCACAAAGCTTCCCTAGCCTTAGCCCCTCCTCCAATCTGAGGCGTTCCGGTACCCCTAATTCCACCGGGACCGAATCCACTTCCACCAGATCCCGTAATGGCCTTCATATCCAACGCCACACTCACACTCTTGGAACCCATACCCTTATACTTGTTGATAACTTGCTCCACAGTGACCTTCAATTCACCTAGATTGTAGAAAACTTGCAACCCAGTACCAACCTCAGCCTGATTCAACCCTTCCATTCCTCTTTCCAGAACCTTCATCGCTTCGTTCCTCAACCGATCACCAGTTTCCCTCACCCAATTGACCTCTTCGTCCACGACATCAATGCCGGCGAGGTCGTATTCGTCGCAGAGGCTTAGGATCTCAGAATGCAGCTGCGCGGCCTTGGCCAGATCCAGCTTCTCCGGCTCGGCGGCGGCGGCCATGAGGTCGCGGAGCTTCTTGGAGAGGCGGAGGGCGCGGATGGAGTGCTGGAGGAGCTCGGTGGTGCGGTGGAGGTTGGAGAGTTGTGCGGTCTTGGAGGCGATGGAGCGGTGAGGGTCGGAGAGCTCCGATCGGAGGCGGCGGAGGGAGGATTGGAGAGAGGAGAGTGCGGATCGGAGTGTGGAGAGGGCATGATCGGCGTGGTGGAGGGAGGAGAGTTGAGAGAGAAGATCGTTGTGGCGGGAGAGGACTTCGGAGCGGAGCTGATTCTCGAGGAGGCGGATTGCGTGGTGGAGTTTCTCGGCGGTGGAGGCAGGGGAGCCGGAGGAGAGAGCGGCGGAGGAGAAGGAGGTGGAGGAGAAGGAAGGGGAGAGGAAGGCGGAGAAGATGGGATCGGAGGCTAAGGAGTCAAGTGCGGAGGAGGAAGTGGGAGTGGCGGCGGCGGTGTTGGCGGAGGAAGGGTTTTTGAAGGTGGAGAGGCGTTGAATTGGCGAAGTGGCGGAGGAAACCGGTGACCTTGCCGCCGCTGGTGAGGCCATTGTGGTTTTTGTATTTTGATGAAGCCACCACTTCTTAGTGCGTCCTGTAACTGTAATGTAACTACTACTTGTTCTGTTCTATCATTTTAGTTTGTGTCATTAGTGTTTTATCACTCTGTTGAGTTTGTTCGTTCTACAACATCTTCATTTCTCACTTTTATTTTATTTTGATTTTCTTCTTGACATGAATGTGTTATAATTAATAACTTTCTATTTTTATAAATAAAATTTTTTTAAAAAAATTATTTTTTATTTAAATTTTAAATTAAAAAAATCATCAACTTTTTTTCACTTTATCATATATTTTTTTCCCCTCTTATTTAAAAACACAATTCGCGGTGCAGCCTTCTCTGTCCTCCGTACCAAACCAAAAAAGTAAAAAAAATAATTCTATATTTTTTAAAAAGAAAAATATTAAATCCGTAAAAAATGAAAACAAAAATCTATCTATTTAAAAAAGTAAAAGCTAGAGAAAAAACTTCTCATTTTTCGCGTAATCATCATCCATCATCTGATAAAAATTGAAGCAACCGCTGTAGACTCGTAGATTTGATTTAATCAAAATCAGCCATATTTAATTTTTTAATAGGTTAGGGTGGATAATAAAAAGTGTAACACTATTTCATGTTTTCTTTAGTTCATAAAAAGAGAGAAAGAAAAAGAGATAGTGTTACAAGCTATAGTATGCAAAGGTATGTTCCCTTCATTAAAATTAAAAAATGAGATCCCTTATAATTAGAAGTAGGAGGGTGCTCTTCCTATATAAGTAGATTAGTCTATAAAATTATTGAAGATGCATATTTCTATATTATATCTCTCTAACATTGTTATATTATAATTAAGGATTTAGTGTTTGATATTTTAAATGACACAACTTTATGTCATTTTTAATGAAATTACGTCGTTTTGGTGTGTTTTATCATTTTCTCTAATTTATAAAATTAGAAATAAAAAGAAAACGGAGAAGAGAGAATGTAAAAACTTACCAAAACGACGTAGTTTCATTAAAAAATGATATAACTTTTTAAAATGACAAACATTTTTTCCTATAAAAAAAAAAAAAAACGTGGAATCGGTTCCCCATTTAAGTAGAATAGTCGAAGAAGTAGATCAAATATTTCTTACTTACTTTCTCCGTGGTATTATCCCAAAAGAGATACATTTTTTTTGCTTTGCTTGTATATTTTGCTGAACCGATCCAATTATCAGCAAAAACACAATGGTTCCACACACTCGTTGTCGTAGACAAAGCTTTCTTTTTATTAGATTAAAATTTTCATTTTGAGTGTGTTGGGTCTCTGATAAACAATTGTTTTGTTGGCAAATAATTATGATTCAGAAAAACACAAACCAATTCGATTCATAAAACCAAACCATAACCAAATCAAATCATATTAACTTTAGAATGTGGCAAATTCACTTGTTGTAGAGGTCAGTATGATTTAGTTTTATCTAGAAAATCGAACCAAAGCGATAATTCGATATGATTTTTGAACTGAACCAATTATACTTTTGTTGACTGGTTTTAAAACGGTTCAAAACCGGTTTAGTTTCCTCTGAATCAGTTCAGAATTAATTTTTCCTTGTAACCGGTTCAAAAACAAATTCATGTCACCGTATAGAAATTTTTTGAATACTAGAGAAATGTAATTGATAGGGAAATTGTTGGAAAATGAGTTTGGTAGGAAAATGTAAAAAAAGTTGTTTGGTTGAAAAAAAATTTACCGGGCAAATTAGGTAAGATAAGGGCATTACGGTCAGCTTTTTGGTTGTCTTTTACTCATTTAGCCGTATAAGTCACAATACCACGTTCAAAGTGGAGAAATTGAACAGTAACTTGCTTTCCATTTTGCACACAAATATTAAAATCTAGGAAAATGTGTTTCCTATCAAAATTTTGTAATATTGTGAACCAAACATGGAAAACAAAGAAACCCTATCTATGATGCCTAGGTATCTCCTAAAAAAACCTCAACCAAACACCACCTAGAAGGATAGACAGGGAACATGACCATTTTGCCACGCTTCACAAATTTACAAGACTGCCACACCAACAGTAAATTTTTCCAAAATGTCACGTGGCATATTTCGCTACACTGTGTAGCAAAATATGTTTACAAATAATTCGTTACACAGTGTAGCGAAATATTCCCTGTCAGGTTGCACAGTCAGCAAAAATGACATGTGTCAAGCAGGCAGAATTCAAGCATAATTCGCTACACAGTGTCAACAAAATTCTGTATGCTTGACACATGTCATTTTTGCTGACTGTGCAGCCTGACATGGCATATTTCGTTACACTGTGTAGCGAATTATTTGCAAACATATTTCACTACATACTGTAGCAAAATATGCCGCGTGGCATTTTGAAAAAAATTATTGTTGGCGTGGCAGTCTGATAAAAAAATTTGTCAAGCGTGACAAAATGATCAGTGTTCCGATAGATTGCATTATTATAACAAAGCAACGACAGTTGATCTTAAATTATATTTGTGTACCTAAAAAGATAGAAAAAAATAACACAAATGCACATAAGATTTTTTTTTTTTATTTCTCCACTGATTGTTTGTGTTTGAAGTTTGGTGGGATAAGAGATATTCAAAACCACTTAGCTAGAGACAATTTCAATATCAAACAATTCTCATGATAGAAGCATGTCAAATTCTTGTTTTGTTCCTATAGAACCAGAACCAACAGTGCTGTCTGATGGATGATTAGGAAGAGTCCCAACCATCATGGTCTGAAAAGGGTTCAAAGGTTTTAAAAATTTCCTCAACACCTTCCAACTTTCTCAGAAGTCAGAACAATACTCATTAAAGGTCTCAATTCTGGCCTGAACTGAACACACCATATAGCCACTAACGTCAAGGTTGCTCAAATAATGGCATTCCAAAACTGTAAATATCTGACTCGTGAGTCACAGGAAATGGCAATCAAAGCTCTAGTTCTGCATAACTTGGAGTTCCCCTTCCTCCTATCATGGTTATATGTGCAGCATAACCATGACCAACCAAATTAAAAATGAACAAGCAGAAATTTAGAACATATGAAAAATTCCAAGCACATAAATCAAGTCGTCTGATCTCATCAACACAAACATTTACATAAATCAAGTTGTCAACAACCATGGACGCAAATAACTTGACATTCTGGCTGTAAGACATTCAAGAACAAAGTAACATGACAAAGCAAATCATTTGTTCTCATCATTTACAGAACATGCCAAGGGTCTTGGTCAGTTTCCCATTAACTTGGAGCACCTCAAACAACAAGCAAGAGAGAAACAATATTTCTAAGCTAAAAAGATCAAGCACGTGCTCGGTACAACGTACAAGTGCAAGTCAGCATGTCATTAAGGAACAACGAACCTAATAATAAATGAAAGGTTCACACCTGGAATCAGTTAACATCCCTTAATAGTTAAAGGAGAAAATTCAGTAGTGTGCTTTTTATCTCAAAACATTCCTAACACTTCCAACCACCAAGGAAAGTTATCCCTAAAGTTAAGTTAAATTCAGTGATTGCATAAGCCTTCAAAGAGAAGACAAAGTCAAGAAACAGTAAATACAGGCTTTGATAAGGTTAACTACTCCAACCTGGTAGTTTAAAGTTAAGTGCTTGTAAGTGTCTTTAGATTCTAATTTAAAAAAAAAAAAGTAGGGAGGTTGAGGATTTCCATAGGTTTGTGATAGGACACCAGCAATAAGGGTGTACTATAGGAAAAGGCATAGGAGATCTCAGCTCTTTCGCTAGCTGATTCAGCAGTTCTGTTAGAAGGAAATTTTCTAGAATCTGTTGGAGGAATATTGGGTAACAATGCATATGTTCATATGAGGTTAAATAGAGAATGGCAAGAAGGATAGTCAGACTTTTGATAGGATTGGAATTGGGACTTTGGGAGAGAACAGTAGCCTCTCAAATGCTACTGAGTTATCTGTTTCCTTTCTTTTCTTCAATTGATCCACAACACATTTTCTGATTTGCTGTAATTTTTTTTTCATACCCTGTAACTTCTTCCATCCTTATATGTACTGTTTTCTGGTTTCTTACTAGAATCAGTTCTGAGAAATACAAATTAAGTGTTTAATTTTCCATTTAATTCTATCTTTGTTATTGTAACCTAACAGTATGCTTCCATTGAGCTTGTTGCTGGGATAAATCCATGTAGAGAAGGTTTTGAAAATTCACAAAACTGCTGCGTATTCTACCCACAAGTTCATTTCCATTGAGTTTTAACTTTAGGAGATTACCAAGGGAGTTTGGAATACTTCTTGATATGAGATTTCCAGCCAGAGAAAGCTCTAGTAGTTCCTCTAACTGGCCTAACTCGTGTGATTTCACCAGAGATTGAATTGTGGGCCAAGTTTAACAACCTCGATGCCCAAGTCCCCAACAATGCCATCAGGGTCAATGTCAGAAAAATCATCCCAGTCCCCACTATTTTTAGGCACATAAAACTCATGTGTCACTAGTGCCTAAACTAACTCTCCCCATCTAATATTTTTACATGTTTCATCTTCAGAAATCAGAATCACTAGAAGCAGTATAACTCATGTTACAATAGTTAATTTGTGCATCAATAGGCTCTTCTATATAAGTGGTGCCAGAAAAGGGTTTAGTGGCTCAACATATAAATACAGTTTATCATTATATGCATCTCCATTAGCTTTGAACCATTTGAGGATTGCAGCATCATTTGTCGACCATCATGCTCCTCTCCTCGTGTAAAACCCCATCCATACGACCATAGGTACTAGTATCTCACAATCCAGCTTCAGCCCCACATGACATGACTTTAGAATTCATGTTTGATTCAAATTGAATGAACAAAATAAAGTAAACACAAGTAACAACAACACCAACAACAACAAAAAAAAAAAATTGAGCACTACGAATTGAAATCTACCTCTACGGAGATGCTCGTTCAAATACAAGAACTGCAAATCCTTCAGCTTTGCAACGTTGATAAAAAAAGGGCAGAGTGCAATTTTGGGGAAAGAATTGACTAAAAGTGTAATTTAGAGAAACCTCAACGGTGGTTTCTATTATTTATTCTTTCTATTAACTTTATCTACCAAAAAAAAAGTATTGATCTTTGAATGTAGCGGGGCTTGCTCGCTAGGTCGGATCCGGGTCGGGTACCTAGTTATTCATTATTTCTGCTCCTCTGTTGATTCATTAGGAACTAAAAAACATGAAAAAAATATCAAACTCCATTATCATTGTTCATCTCAAGTGTCCCAAGGACTTGGTCGTTAAGCAAAATATTATGAAATATTACATATAATAAAAGCAGAAAATGAAGATGCCTTTACAATTGACAAGCTTTCTTCTGTACCCTTTTTATGTGTTAATGATGAGAAACCCATCAACAAAACCCAAAAAACAGAAGCAACTAGTTAACTTAAGAAAAAGAAAAAAAAAAAAAATGAATGAATGAAATGTAAGGTGAGACTCAGAAGTTGCAGCCACAGCAAAGGTAGAAGAAGCAGAGGGTGGAAACAAGGACTACACCCTCAGCCACAGAGATAATCTTGAAAACGACGGTGTCCATGATGGTCGTTTGAAGATCCAGTCGCTTCCACCGAAACACAGAAAAACTCCTTGGCCTCACCTTCTTCAACCAGCTGTTCTTCTTCCCCATATTCTTAAACTCACACACATACACACACACAACCAACTCTCTTTCTCTCTCTCTCTTTTTGATTTGGTCTTCTTTGGAATTGGGATACAGAGAAAGAGAGGATGAGTTACTCTTTATATAAAAGAATGAGATGCTTTGGATGCTTCCAAGACAAGGTTGTGGTTGCTGTCTGGCACTCGCTGGCCCAGGAGGATTAAAAGAGGTTGAAACGTCTTAAAAACAGCACTTTCTTCATGGAGTCTGCTTTTCTCACGTTTCTTAGCTGGTCCTTCAAACACTTTGGTCCCAATCATACAAAATTACTCTCATCTTCTTTCCAATTTACCTCTACTGTACTTTCTACTTTCTGCGGTTATATTCACAAATTTTATTTTATTTTTATAAATTTATAAATTACATTATATTTTATGATAAGACTTCGTTCAAGAATATTTTACTGATAAAATATAATATAATTTATAAAAGTTTTTTATAAATATAACATTTCTCATCTTTTCTATTAGGATGGTAGATTAATAGATTGAAGAGATATATAAAATTAAGAATGTCTTAATAAGCAAAATAAAACTGTTCATTGTCATATAATTTTTTTTTATGAAGTTATAAATATTTGTATGGAAGAATCATAATGAGAAACGAGATAGGACATACAAAGACTTGGAAAAAAATTTAGTATTGATTATATAACATAAAAGGGACTTAGAATAATCAAAAACATTATTTTGTTATAGTTCATTTTACTTTTCTAATCAGTGTATATTAAGTTTGTTGAATCTTTTTTTTTTTTTTATAGATTAAGTTTGTTGAAACAAATTACGTTAAATTGTGTGAATTTGTTACGTAATTTCATAGTAAATCTCACTTTTTATGCTGCTTTTTTTTTTTATTAAAACACAAAACCCCTCAATTCAATATTTTGTTTGAATAATTTCATTATAAATGAGAAAAAAATTGTTGAAGAAAACACTTTTGCGAGGTTTTGTAATTCATTCAAATCAAACAGTGAGTGATTGATTTTCCTATTAATATTTTGATAATTTATCTTACGCAACAAGTGGCGGACTCATAAATTTTTTTTATGTATGCATAATTAGGGCGAGGGATTAGGGGCAGCGCCCTCGAAGATTTTTTTTAAAGTAAATTTTAAATGTATTAAAAAATATATAAACAAAAAAAGAAAATTTTAACTTAACCCAATAGGTGCAGCTCAGTTGGTTCCCTCACGCTGAGTTAGTGGGGTTGGACATGTGTTCGATTCTCGCTAAATGCATTCTTGGGGAGGGGGCTGAACCTTTAGCCATCACTGACCCTCGCACTCCGGATTAGTCTCATAGCCGGCTCAAAGAGTCGAAGCTTGTGAGGATACCGGAGGGAGCCAACTCGCCTCAAAGAGGTAATTAGGGTTGGGTAACTCCAAAAAAAAAAAATAACTTAACATAAAAAGACCACTTCAAAAGTAAAACTTTGGAGAATCAACTATAGTTTTAAAGAAATAATCGATAATGATAATTAAAAAATAAATAAACACCACAAAAAGATATTTGTAAAATATAGTATAATTGTAGGGGTTAACTGATCAAAAACACACATCTGTCAATGTCTATTTGATCCAAAGTTGGCTACTTTTATTTTACAAAAAAACGTGAAAAATCTCATGCGATTCTCCTTCACTTGATGAAGATTGAATTTTAGGAATCATTGATGTCTATTAAGATTTGGAGCTAATAAGATTTATGTTTCAAAAAAAGAAGAAGAGAAAAAAGCAATGAGATAGGATTTAAACTATGAGCTTTTAATTATAGGAGTTTGTTGGGTTAGACTTATGTTTTTTTTTTTTCTTTTCAATCTTCCTAAATCTTTTTTTTACTTGACCTAAATCACTCGTTCTTTTGAGAAAAAAAATTCTCAAACTTTTGTGTCTGTGTGTTCAGACAAAAGCAACAGTGTCAGTCGACCATTATATGCAACACATAAGAAAAATTAATAGAATCCAATAAAAAAAATGAATTCCATTCATTTTTGTACGTGTTATATAAGATAGAAACATAAAGACAATATCCCTTAATATTTTTAGTTGAGTGAAGCACCCGTTTTCCCGCAATGTTGTCGTGCATGATTATAAAGACGGGCCTTAATTTTCTTTTTCCTGTTTTTGAATCTTCATAATGTTGGGAGTGATCATGATATAGCTCGCTAGGATCATATCATCATCAAATGTAAGCATAACTAGGCTTTTCTTGAAGGTTGATATAAAAAAGGCAAAATCTGAATCATAACCCAACACAACCTGGACCGCTTGTTAATGGCATGATTCACTCGTACATTCATTTTCGTTTGTGTAATTTTTTTTTTTTAAATTAACTCAACCTTAATTAACTCGCGTTGGCTATTTTCAATACCTTTATAAGTTTTTATTTTTTGAGTCGGCTATAAATTAATCTGAAATATGAAATGAATCAAATCGAAATGTTTTCTTTTTTATTTATTTAACTCTTTTGTTATCAATTCAACTATTAGCATTTGTTGGTGTGTCTAGTTTTCATACAGCTGTTCTTCAAATTCCACCCAATTCCTGTGCACGTCATCGCTCATCACTATTTGTCTTTGTACGATTTCAGTTTCGGGTACTTGCAAAGTGTGTAACAATAAGTCTCAAACAAGGATGAAGAAAAAGATATAATGCAAACGATAATACATATATTTATTGGGTTTAGCATGTATCATTTTAAGGAGGTAAATAGTATCAGCCACGCAGCTGACCCAAAAATTTAGGTGCCACAAAAATTGACATATCAAATTATTAAAATATTTATCATAATTACATAAATTTATCAGAAAAAAAATTTACTATGAATTCTAACATAGTTATCTAAATTATATACTAAATAATATCACATAATATTAAAAATTCAAATGAACAATTGTGGTTGATTATATATCAAAGCAAACATATAAAAATACATTAACATTTTCGGTAAACATTTCAAATATAAGAATTTCACTTTTATCCTACAATATAATAAGTAATGAACCAAACATTATCCTACGGATATAGAAACACACAAATATAATAATTATATGTATAATAAGTATTGTCTTTCGTCTCCTCTTTCATTATCTCCATTCCTTAAAAAATTTCAATATCTCACTTTAGAAAACATTGCCCTTGTTTGCAACAACCATAAGCATGAAGGAAAGTTCTCACATTTGGGAATTAGGTTTTTGAGTATTCTTTGTGTGTGTAAAAACACAAAACACAATAATTCAATGGACCTTCATATTCCATAATTATAGTCCTATTATTCATTTAGTTTCATGATTATTACTTTCAAGGGTCAAGTGTTTGTCCTTTTGAAGGACACAAATTGTATCCTTTTAGTTTTTAACATTATGTCTTACCGGTAAGACATAGTTATAACGTTAGCTGAAGTGACTGAGAAAATAGAAAAAAAAGCAATTTTTTATATTATAACTATGTTTTACCGGTAAGATATAGTGTCAAAAACTAAAAAGAAACAACCTTGTGTCCTTTAAAAGAACAAACCATTTTTTCTTCTTTTAAATGGTTTTATTTGGTTTAGTTGGGCCAAATTTTAAAATAGGTCAACTAATCATTTTTGTGATTAAGTTTAGAAATTTTTCTTTTTTAAAATAATAGGAGTATGAATAAATAACATAACTGATTAGAATAAAGTAAATAAAAAATATACAGGATAAAAAATAACAAGAAGGTAAAACACAAAAATAACCATACTATACATGTTTTTTATTATTTGTTTGCATTTAGATGATTCGTTGTTACTTTGTATTGAGTATTTGATTTTCTATTTAGGTGGTTCCAAATTATAATTTTTACCTTAGTTAATAATATAATAAGTAAAAAAAAAAAAACAGGTGCCAATGCACCTGCTGGCTTGCATGTGGCTACACCACTAAGTTGTATTCTTTTAATTTTTTATTTTATGTATTCCCGATAGTTTATAGTTATAATATGAAAAGTTATTTTTTTACTTTCTACATTAGCTGATGTGACTGAATAGAGAAAAAAATAACTTTTTTATTATAATTATGTATTACCGGGAGTACATAAAGTATAAAAACTAATTTAATTTTGACGAAAATTTATTTAAAATTTTGCAAATTATCACTTAATCATGTTATTGCCTCATTAGATAATATTCTCTCACAATAACTATTTCAAAAATTACACTTTTTTAATGATATGATAATTACACTTTTTTTTTTGTAAATATAATTACACTTTTTTAATAATATGATAATGCATGATTAAGTGATAGTGTAAATTTTTGGGTTATCTTTTTCTACAGTCAATGTAGATAACTTATCTACAGCGAGTTCAAAACGACGTCGTTTTGAGGCAAAAAGCAAGGTATTTTTGTAATTATAATTTATTTCAGGGTTATAATAGTCTTTTTCATTATAATTTTTTAATTTGTAAACCCAAAACGACGTCGTTTTAGGAGTGAATGTAAATAACTTATCTACATTCACTTTAGAAACATTAAATCCAAAAAAATTTCATCAGCGTATCAAAACAAAAACTAAATATTTTAAGATTTTTCTTAAGAAAAAGACATCTTTGGATTTCTTAGTTGATTATTTCTTTTAACTTCATAGAATAATTAAGGCTTTAACGGCAAAAAAATTAATTTATTACTTTTTTAATAAAAAATTATGAATAAGTTGTCGTTTTGCAAAAAATTACGAATCTATAGCACCCAAACACGCCCACATGGGGCGTGTTCTGATGGAGAGAGACACGCCCATGTGGGGCGTGAGCTTGTGAAGGAAACACGCCCAACGTAGGGCGTGTGTGGTCACGCCTAGGATAAGGCGTGTTCAGTGGGTAGACACGCCCAAATATGGGCGTGAGTAACTAAACTGTCTGCTATTTAAACACCCACCCCCCTACACACTCTTCACAATTCTGTCATTGTTATGCTAAACTCTCTGATAGTTTGCACTTGTTTACTCATATTTTGTTTTATCTTTTAAAATTTTGATTTTAAAAATGAGTGTGAATTCTGATACTATTCGTGTTGTTCTATATTTTAACGGTAGGAAAGAAGAAGGTCGTCGTGGTGTTATTTTTGTAGGGGAGAAAAGGCCATCACGTATTAAACGAAACTCAACGGTTACTGAGCTGCATCAGAAAATACGTCAAAAATTATGTCTTCAAGACAACCAATTTGATCACTCTTGTCACGGCAAGGTTATGGCAATGTGAACAATACATTAGCTTGCAAGTGGTCGATGACGAAGACATCGATATGGTAATGGAAGAGTTCTTGAACCAGTGTAGAAAGGATTTCTTAGAGTTGTATGTGGATACTACAACCGCGGAGGAAGTTGTCATACCAATGAGGTCAGTTAGGTCTACTTCTCCTCTTAATGCATCATCATCTGTTGTTCCTGTTGTTAACATGTCTGAGGAAGATGAAACATGACCCTACTTCTCCTCTTATGCATCATCATCTACTTACTCCTTGCATGCTAATAGAAAAATTCAAAAAACAGTCCACAATAGTCAGCGATAGCACAGTACACAATTACAACAGTCCCAAAAAACCAGTCAATACATCAGTCCATGTAACTAAAAATAAAAAACAGTCAATACATCAGTCCATGTAACTAAACAAAAAAACAGTCAATACATCAGTCAATACATGAAATAAAACTACGACCAACGAGGCCATGGCCTATCACGTGCCTGACGTGGGGGTAATCGACGCCTAGACTGAGCCTCTATAGCCTGTGCAAATGCGTCAAGACATGGCTCCTCGTCGTCAACCGCCTCTGGAACATGAGCTGGTGGAGTCGTGCAAGACATGTCAGGTGTAGAAGCAACATATCCACCGCTCGCAGATGGTATAAAATCATGTTGTGCACTAACATGTGTAGGCCAATCGCCTACTCCGTTTGTGGTCAAGTCCAAGGTCTGGCACCACTCCGTAACGTCTTCCATATTCCACTCCTGATACTCTGTACCACAAGAAGGATCCTGAGAGACCGGTACCCCACCAGATGCGCATGCCATGGGGCTAGCCTGATAAACCTGCTCACTCTGTGTAAACCCCTGGCCATATTATGGACTTGGCTGGCTATCATAATACTGCGGCGGAGGAGGACCATGGTACATAGGCTTTGGCCCGCCTGCTTGGCTCAGCACTGGCGGTCTAAACCAACCCTGCATATCAGTGCGCGGTCTAGGAGCAATAATAGGATCGGGTATCGCTCGAACCGATTCTCGCTGTCGTCCTAGTCCATGCCCCTCCTGCCTGCCACTGGGCACCTCAATGGTCAACATCGGCTCCTCAACAGTCTGCGTAGGTGGAGCCTCTGGCCCTGGCTCCTCTACTCGTGCCGACTCTCTGAATATGGCAATAATGCGACCAATCTCGTCATGGACCCACTCTAAGCCAAAGGCGGGGAACTGATCCGCAGTAGTCGCAAAATATAGCATCTCCAACCCATCAATCTATAAAGAAATGAAACAACATGATATAATTAAAAATTTATAAACACATAATCATATTCATAATTGAAGTGTCAAAACTTACTGCTCGTCCAACCCTGGCAGCTCTCCTGGCGACAAACCGTTTCCCTCGCTGTCTGTACCAGTGTAGGTACTCATGGTTCGGGGACATCAACCCGACCAGTGCAGGGGGAAAACGTATAGACGTATCCCTGATCGTCCATCGATGTATGAAGGGCCTCAACTTACGCTCCCAATTATCATCCTTCTTCCCTCGCAGAGTTAGATCATGAACACCCTTAAGCTTTCTTGGTCTCCGCGGTATGGGCTGATCAAAACCAAATTGTCGCATACATCGATCCGGTTGAGCGTACTCAACTGTATGGAAGCAAATGATAGGAGTAATGGACAACCATAAGTACCGCTCATGATCAGAAACAAACAATGTTGTATGGTACTCTCCGTATGGCTGCCACACAACCTACATATAAAGAAATTAGTAACAAGTACACAATTACCACCAACTATAATATGTAAATAAATAAAAAACAATTAATAATAGATATCACAAACCTCGTCTCTATAAAGCGTGTCAAGGTTTGCCCGATACCAAGACTGCTCATGTGGCTTAAAGGGAAGTAGGGAATTAAACCTGTAATGGAATGTGTAAACCATTATCATACTCATTCGACAAATGAACATGTAACAATTTAGTCAATATGAGTTAATAAAATATACCTGTGACCAAAATGCCACTCCGGGTGGGTAGGCTGCGGGATAGGTGGTGCAATGGGGGGGAATTTAATCCAAGCCCATATCTGCAGTAATACGTGACAACCACCCAGATTTACAGTCCGCGGGTTTGTTGCCACACATAAATGTCTAAAGAGATGGGCGAGAACCGCAGACCCCCAACTGTATCTGCCAATGTCCGTAAAGTCCCCTGCAAGCAGTGGAACGTAACGACAAGCAATTTTGCTGCCATCTGATCTGTCACACACTAACCATGAGCCTAATAGCCGCAAAATGTGTGCCTTGGTGTAACGCCTCACCTCCTCTGGATTGTGTGCTACTGTAAACCAATCAGCATATATCTTGTCTAAGTAAGAAATACGTAGATCGCCTCCGTGAATGTCTGTGCCCGCAACTGGGGCAGTCCCAAAAACCTGCTGACACATAGAAATCCAATCCAATGCTGTAGATCCGGTAACTGCCTGCCCGTCAGTAGGCAAACCAAGTATACCAGCCACGTCCTGTAATGTAACGGTCATCTCTCCCTGCGTCATGTGAAATGTATGTGTCTCCGGTCTCCAACGCTCAACCAAAGCAGAGATCAAAGGGGTATTGATCTGAAGGAAAAACAACAATTATACAAAGTCCACATACGGTAATTTAATTAAGCTATTTATACATTACATACCTGAACATGACTCATACGTGCCACGTGTATGAACCCAGCCTGTGTCAAATAGTCAGCGACAACGTCTGGTATATCATCGTGATGGGGTCCCCCCTGAAGTTTCCCTCGCCTCGTCTTTAACCCCCTAACCGTATCCTCGTTCCACACAACTTGTGAAACGTGACTGCGCTGTGTCCTCTTACGGAGTACCTCCCACCTATATGGACCAGGAAGTACATGCGTACAAGGATCGGATGGCTCAATTCTCAATTCTCTTACATAGGTCACAAATATTTTTCTAACCCCCTAACAATTAAATAAAGTCACAAATATTTTTCTAACCCCCTAACAATTATCTAAGTCGCTAATAACTATCATATATTAATTGCTGTTAATAAAAAAAATAAACAATAACGCAGGGAGAACACGCCATATCGTGGGCATGTCTCTCTCTTAGAACACGCCCTACTTTGGCCATGTCTTGTTCAGAAGCTCACGCCCCACATGCGCGTGTCTCTCTCCTGCCGCACACACCCTAACTTGGGCGTGTTTCCTTCACAAGCTCACGCCCCACATGGGCGTGTCTTTCTCCATCAGAACACGCCCCATGTGGGCGTGTTTGGGTGCTATAGATTCGTAATTTTTTGCAAAACGACAACTTATTCGTAATTTTTTATTAAAAAAGTAATAAATTAATTTTTTTTGCCAGGCTTTAATGTTTCTAAAGTGAATGTAGATAAGTTATCTACATTCACTTCCAAAACGACGTCGTTTTGGGTTTAAAAATTAAAAAGTTATAACGAAAAAGACTATTATAACCCAGTAATAAATTATAATTATAAAAATACCTTGATTTCTGCCTCAAAACGACGTCGTTTTGGGCTAAATGTAGATAAGTTATCTACATTGACTGTAGAAAAAGCGAACCCAATAATTAAAGGCTTTAATGTTTTTAAAGTGAATGTAGATAAGTTATCTATATTCGCTCGCAAAACGACGTCGTTTTGGGTTGAAAAATTAAAAATTTATATTGAAAAAGACTATTATAACCCTGAAATAAATTACAATTACAAAAAAATCTTGGGTTGAAAAAGACTATTTCCCCCTTCTTTCCCATTCTCTCTCCTCTTTTCTCTTTCCTCTCTCCTCTCTTTTTTCTCTCACTCTCTCTTCCGAGCACATGTGTGCCGGAATCACTACATATTATCTCATCTTGCACAAGGGAAACAACGATTATTACATCTTGCATAAGGGAAACAACGGTTATTACATCTTGCATACATCTTGCACACATCTTGCACACATCTTGCATACATAAGAGGGTATATATATATACTGATTTTATAGTGTACACCATAAAAGCTTTGGACCATACATCTTGCATAAGGGAGACCACCGTTATTACATCTTGCATACAACTTGCACACATCTTGCATACATAAGAGGGTATATATATACTGATTTTATAGTGTACACCTTAAAAGCCATAGTTAAGATATTAAACCTAAATACTGATTTTACTTTTCTAATCAGTATATATTAAGTTTGTTGAATCATTTTTTTTTTATAGATTAAGTTTGTTGAAGCAAATTACGTTAAATTGTGTGAATTTGTTACGTAATTTCATAGCAAATCTCACTTTTTATGCTGCTTTTTTTTTTATTATTAAAACACAAAACCCCTCAATCCAATATTTTGTATGAATAATTTCATTGTAAATGAGAAAAAATTTGTTGAAGAAAACACTTTTGCGAGGTTTTACAATTCATTCAAATCAAAACAGTGAGTGATTGACTTTCCTATTAATATTTTGATAATTTATCTTATACAACATATAAAAAAATTAATAGAATCCGCTAAAAAAAATGAATTTCATTCACTTTTTTATATGTTATATAAGACAATTGTCTTGTGAAACATAAATTCCCCTAATATTTTTGGTTGAGTGGAGCACCTGTTTTCCCGCAATGTTGTCGTGCATGTTTATAAAGACTGGCCTTAATTTTCTTTTTCCTGTTTTTGAATCTTCATAATGTTGGGAGTGATCATGATATAGCTCGCTAGGATCATCATCACATGTAAGCATAACTAGGCTTTTCTTGAAGGTTGATGTAAAAAAGGAAAAATCTGAATCATAACCCAACACAACCTGGACCGCTTGTTAATGACATGATTCACCCATACATTCATCTTCGTTTGTGTAATTTTTATTTTTTAAATTAACTCAAAGTGAGTTGGCTATTCACTACATTTTTATAAATTTTGATTCTTTGAGTCGGCTATAAAATTAATCTGAAATATGAAATGGATCAGTTATAAAGATATTTAAACTCATTCCAAAAGTAATATGTAAGAATCGAATCGAATCATTCTCCTTTCACTTATTTAACTCTTTTGTTATCAACTGAATCATTACAGTTGAGTGATTTTCATACAGCTGTTCTTCAAATTCCACCCGATTCCTGTGCGCGTCATCACTATTTGTCTTTGTACGATTTCAGTTTCGGGTACTTGCAAAGTGTGTAGCAATAAGTCTCAAACAAGGATGAAGAAAAAGATGCAATGCAAACGATAATACATATATTTATTGGATTTAGTGGGTATTATTTTAAAGAATATAAGTTGTATTTTTTTAATTTTTTATTTTATGTACTCTTGATAATATATATTTATAACATCAAAAGTTACTTTTTTTTTTATTTTTCACGCCAGCTGATGTGACTGAATGTAGAGAAAGAAAAAATAACTTTTCATATTATAATTATGAGTTCGCTTTTTCTATAGTCAATGTAGATAACTTATCTACAGTGAGCTCAAAATGACGTCGTTTTGAAGCGGAAATTAAGGTATTTTTGTAATTATAATTTATTTCAGGATTATAATAGTCTATTTTATTATAATTTTTAAATTTTTGAACCCAAAACAACGTCGTTTTGGAGCGAATGTAAATAACTTATCTACATTCACTCTAGAAACATTAAAGCCTTATAATTATGTATTAACAGGAGTACATAGAGTATAAAAACTAAAAGGACACAACTTACATTCTTTAAGAACACAAAAAGTTTTCCCATATTTATTTTATAGAATATCTCTTAACACGCCTCTTGTGCATAAGTTCATTATTTTTGAACAGGCAATCAATGGAGAGTCCTCTTAAAAATTCTACGTTTTATTATTGAAAAAAATATGTATCATTTTAAAGGATGTAAAGTTATGTCATTTTAAGAGAGAGAAAGAGATATATAAAAGAAGAGAGAGAATTGGCAAAAAAAAAATAAAAGTGTGGGTCTCACCTCTTTGTGAGAGTAAAAAATATAAGTTATGTCACTTAAAACAATAAACATTTTTTCCTCTTTATTATTTTATGAGATTGTTAAGCATGCGGACTTTAACAATACAAAATTGGATATTGTTATCAAAAGCTTGAGCACAAAAACTTTTTTAGCATTCAAAGCAAAGTTTGTTTTATTATTATTTTTTAAAATTTATGGTTTAAAAATAATCTTATATATGCTCCACATATAACAAAATATAAACCAATAACAGCTTGAGCGCTTTAACCCTTGAGCTTATTATTCTATGAAGTTAAAACAAATAACCAATTAAGAAATCCAAAGATGTCTTTTTCTTAAGAAAAAATCTTAAAATATTTAGTTTTATTTTGATACGCTGATGAAAAAAATTTATACTATCACTTAATCATGCATTATCATATTATTAAAAAAGTGTAATTTTGTGAAATAGTTGTTGTGAGAGAATATTATCTAATGAGGCAATAATACATGATTAAGTGATAGTTTACAAAAAATTTAAATAAATTTTCATCAAAATTAAATTCATCAGCCTCTATTCATTAGTTTTAATTGTTATTCTTTTTAAGATAACATTAATTAGTGTTATTTTAGTGAAATAAAATCATGTGAGATACACGTTAGGTGTTGCACATCCTTTCCACCTTTGTTTAGAACTTTGTATTACACATTACCAAGTTGCTTTTTTCTTGTATTTTCAGCTTTTTCTCATTGCAGTGTGTTGAACAAAGACAAATTGACATTGATTCATTTGTTCCCCTAACGTCACTTTGGTATGGTCACTCCAAAAGAGTTGAATCAAGTGGTCCCTGCGGTACTCATAGTCATGTCCACTAGCCACTAGTGCTTAGACGTTAGCTAATCGTTGTTTTCTCATACTGGTCAAGTCAATTTGCAATATCATAACGGCTAATGTACCACTAAATATACAGTATCGTTAACAAATAAAAGATAATATCATAGAAACCTTTTACGTAATGCCCGTTTCGTGTAAGTAGCTTGTCTGACATTTGGACTACTCATGGAGACAATGACAACACAACTATTATTATCTGCACAATTTTTATAGCATATAAATTCGATAAACTAACTAGTAAACTTATAGATTCACCTAACTCAGATTAATATTTTTCCTATACATTAATTGAAAATAACTTTATTCTACGAATTCATATAGAATGAATGGAGTTTCTTTTTCTTTTTCTTTTTCTTTTTCTTTTTTTTATAGGGCCTCACCCACTTTCGTATGAATACACGAATAAAGTTTTCTTTAATTTACAAGAAAAACATTAAATCATTTATAAATATAAACTAATGATTTTAACTCAAAGAGAGATTAACTTCATAAAAAAAAATGAGTGGGTGATAGTTAAATTGGTAGGACGTAGGGTTACTTCACTTTGTTTGTCGCTCTTCATGATTTCATATGTTGATTATATATAGGAATAATTGTTGTAGATGTATAGATAGTGTGTGTTCTAGACCAGTTAGATGACCTTGACCGATAGTCTCATTGATCGCATGGCAAGGGAAAAAATACTTAAGCACCTGAGGATACATGAACCTTCTTTATATGTGATTCCTCCCACTTTCTATGCACGTGTGATTCCTCCACGCCTAAGTTTATAAATATTGGATCACATATTCATAATAGACACTTTCATCTCCATCACTTATCTTCATTTGAGGCCAAAATGTTGACTCTTCTAAGTTAAGGTTCATATGGTTGGGGAAAAATCAGTTCCCTCAGATCGGCTCAGGGGCCTTTGCGGAAGTCAGTCAATGAGATCCTTGATCTCAGATCTCAGCAATACCTCGGCCTGAATTTCACCAGGTCAGGCAGCGCAGCGGAAAAATCAAAAACGGAAAACAGGAGAGAGAGAGAGAGAGAGAAAGAGAAAAGGAACACAACCAGTTTTAACGTGGGAAAACCTTCTTCAATGAAGAAGTAAAAACCCACGGGACCTAGTCCAGATCAAAAATCCACTATGAAAATAATGGTTACAAAAAATCAAATACACCAATGTGGTGGTTAACTCAACCTCTCCAACAATGGTGATAATCAAACTACCCTAGAGATGTTTCACTCAAACTCTCTCTAGAGATCTCTCAAATGCAAAGCATAAAGCTTTGCTCAAACAATCAAATAATTATCTCTCGAATT